CTGGTCGAAGAACAGCTTTTTCAGGAGGAGAGTGCAGGATTTAGCACAGTTCTGCGCGAGTTTGGTTCTGCGTGATATCCCACTGTCGACATCTAGTGCAGGTATGGTAAGGGAACCTTCAAGAAGCAATTTTTCCAAATGGCTCAGGGCAGGTGTCACTGTCATTGTTGGCAGCTCTGGTGTGGAACAAGGAAATGGGGTAGACACCGAAGGCAGACGTCATTTCCAGGTCCTTTAGCTATGGAGAAATCAGAGAGTCTGCCATTCGTAGCAATGCTTTTCACTTGTGCCATTAAGTTTGCTACAAAGGAAGGGCAGTTGGTGCAAAGTGAGGATCGATCTTCGGTAGCACCAATGCAGTGTTCTGAGACTGCGTGATGGACAGGAGAAGGCATAGTGTTACAATGGAACTTATATGTATTCGGTGAGGGAGGAGGGAATTGAGCCTCTTGGAGTGGCCTGGAACCCAGGACCCACGAATACGACTTAACTTTCCGCATTGAGGTGTGATGTAACAATTGAGTTATTTTGTTCATTCACTCAGTCACCTTCCTTTACACTGCGCTCAAAATTGAATGCCCGTCTATGATCTACAATTTGCGCTAAAAAATTCATATGTACTGCAGTGTCGTAGAGCTACAACAGTATAAAACTTGGCCGTGGTCTCTCCACTTCGTCCGTTGCGATTCTTAAAGCACTTAATCGTGCTCTACGTGTCCATTAGTGCTTTATTCGCTCTGAGTCAAAAATTTGCAAGTGCTAAATTTGAATATTGCCAACCAGGGACACGCAACATTAGATTAGTGCAAGATGGGAAGGCTATTCTTCCATTTGTACTGGTTTTTTTAAGGATGCAATAAAGGAAATTTTTGAGGAGAGTTTCGGTAGTCGAAGATGCCGATCTGACTAATCATCGCAGTCTTTTTCAGTCATTGGGTTTGTAATCTCCGATTTGGCGATTAGACCACACAAGGATGAAGCGGTTATCCAAAGTCCGAGAACATGAGCTACTTTGTGGCTAATTTGTAATTCAGAATAATGTTTTTGCTTTGCAAGTTCGCAAACATTTGTTGAGTCAATTTTTGACCTTTGCAATTTACACATTGTTATCCCATATGCTACCACATTTGCGATTTCACAACAGCATCACACGATAGTCTGAAGTCTTCAGCGTTGGATACTACGAGCCCTAATAAACTGTCGGCAGGCGTAATTTGGGAAAATTCCTTCCAATTTACCACCAGATATGTGTGGACAAATGACTAAGCAATTGTGAAACTAATTTCACACGATTAATTATGGGGTTCTGTAGATTTAGTGTGAAACGTGGACATTAAAACTGCACCTGTCCTGAGAGTACGCTGTGATTGGAGTTGCAGACAAAAGCTTGTATTTCACAGAAATTAAAACAAACTTTTACGGAATGCTGCAAATGGTCCACAATTATGATTGTTGGCAGTATCTTTGACACACTGATGGATTGACAAGTATAAGGTCTGCAACGAATGACTGCTTTGGAGTTCATTTAATTTTAAGAATAAAAGCCCCAAATTCTCTTGGCATTAACACAAGGACGCCCTATGAGCGTGATAGTTACTAAATGCATTCTCGTCTGTGAATACTGAGAGGGAAATTACAACGCATCGGGAATAGCGAATTTTGTTACTACCTGAATGCTGGCAGCATAAATTAACCAAGTATTTGGCATTATTTATAACAATAAATTCAGCTTAGCCAATACAAATATAAATGAACTTATTTGCCATTTTAATCTATACTGTGTTCCTTGGCGAGGGGTACAGATGCAACCTCTAACATTTTCTAGATTTGCTGAAATGGTGGTCCTCATTGAAGTGGATTTTGTGCGTGTTGTCTGATAATTTGTAGTGACCGTATGGCCTGTGTTGCATTTTGGCGTCCTTGATGGACAGCTGACATCTGCTTTCACTGTAGACATTGCAGCATTACGGCTCGATAGATTTCGTGAACAGGCACAAAGAGTTGCTTGCACAGACATGCAGCCTGAAGCATATTCGTTTGGCGCGTCTTCTCAATAACGAGTTGTGGTGACATCAATGGAAGTACTGATCATATCACGATTTTCATTGCATGTTGCGGATACCTTTCCATAACTACCATCACATTTCTTCATCAATTTTAAACAATATCTACATGTATTGTTGGTGCAAATTAGTACAAATATTGTGCAAGCACTGCAGATATGCTAACATTAAATGGTCGCATTTGGCGAGGCGAACACTGGAGTTCCCGTAGATTATAGAAATGCATTTCAACTTTCGCCTAGGCAAGCAACAACAGTTGAGACTAGTAAAATTGGGTCTTATCTATGGTGCAAGAGCTGATTAAATTAAAATAGCTACAATAATTATTTTTAAACCACTAAAAAGTACAAATAAAATGTGCACCCAGCCGAGCTCATCCGAGGAGGCTTGAATGATTGGAGCACATACGTTGGTAACCATAGTCGATTGTTGGATTATAGTTGAGATATGGTGTTTGTAATATGCTAGAATATGGATGGGTCTGGAAACAAATAAACACCTCTATGACTGTGTCATTTGAATGAATAGTGACACCCACACCAGAAGCTTCACTAAACCTTACATTGTCACAACACATTTTAAACCACACACACTACCGAATGAAAGCTGTTGCATATAGAGACGAGGGATGCTCAAGAAGTAGGCACGACCTCTGCGATTGGGGAGATGAGAGAGATGTGTTGTTTAGCTAACAACAATACCTTAGCCCAACTGACGCCTTGAAATGACTTGAGTTGATATATATGGTTATGTTTACAAAATTTACCGCCTTCTCTGTTGAAATATTCCTATTCCTTGCCTCTCTTTGAATATGCTTTATATTTAGGTTTGTAGTCTGTTTGAAACTTGACTTTTGTTCCTATTCACCGAATCTAAGAAGGCAATTAGAAGAGAAGACTATTTCTTGCGATAAAGTAAACTTGTACCGGTAAAATCACCGTGAACAAATCAGCGTTTGACTTCTGTCCTTTGAGGGGTTCACAAGTCTCCCTGTTTACATGACCTGTTGAACTATCAACAGCTGCCACGAGGGACGCTGCAGAGACTCGTAGGCGTGAATACAAAAAATGAAGGAGCTTATCTTTACCATCATATTTCTGTAGTTGGTCTTGAACTGAAAATTACGTACACCCCACGTAGCAGGGATCAGCTACACTAACCCCATCCAAAAGGGCAAAACTGAGAAACCTTTCACAAACTTCACAACTTTGCAACTGCAAACCATAACCCAGAAAGTGACAAAAAAATAGCGCTGAAGCTGCCTATTTAAACTGCACCCGTCTCTCTCATGATTGAACCGATTTCCATTACGTCAGTTGAAGCACCTTCATGAATGATTTGTATTTCTTTCTGTCCACAGTAATTAAGATAAATGGTTCACCTTACATCAGCTCGTCTCACGACCATCTTTCGCCTACTGAAGGCGACTTTGCTCAAGCACCATACCTAGACACTCATTTTATAGCTATGTACGGTTGCTACGCCCCACCTCAGGGCATATGTGATACCTAAAAATCGCATGATGTTAATGTTGCCTTATAGAACGCCTTGATTCGGAGCGTTATAGCACAGGTCTCAACGTCACACGCGTCGTCATTCTAACTTCCGTTCACAAATTGTGTTACAATTATGAAGACAAAATCGCCCAAAATATCTGCTGCATCCCAAGTCAGCGTTCGCATCCATTGTTTTCCTTCTTTCTTTATTTAAAGTCTTTAACCATGTGCAGGCGAAGACCGTTTTGCTGGCAGATGTGATGACTGGTCTGTTGAAAGATACTTTGTCAAGAATTCACATCTCATCCTTCCCTTCCTTTATATTCACTTATTTCAATTTTAGATGGAGATGAGTCTTCAGTGTCTGAATGGAATGCTGTGAATCTCTAACGAAAATGCAGTGCGAAAAAATCTGTTCCCCAAACTCCTAAAGGTGTACATCGAAACGACAGCTCTGCCATACGTTCGAACAAATTACCAATTCGGTCAAACTGCCCATTACGCATTCATTTGCTCAAACCCAGTACAATTTTGCACAAGTTAATAAAACTTTAACGCCACCCTAATGTCACGAAATAACATCACGCTACTGGTGATGTTTGAGTAAACAACTGCAAGTGCAGTTATTATTTTGCAGTTCGTAAACAGGTCATAGAATAAAGATGGAGCAAGAGACAAATAGATGTAACAATCCTATCTCAACCGGTGAATGCCAATGACCTCATTTACATTCATCAATCCTCTATGAAGCCGCTAGCGATGATAACAGAAGTAGAACACGATGCCGTTACTTTAACGTATTCTAAGGTCCCGAATGCAAAGTAAAAAAAACCAAAATAAATTTTAAAAAAACTTTACCTATTTTAAGCTTGCTTAAGATGATGCAGTATTTTTTTTAGCCAGTGAACTGCTGCCAACGCTGCTGCTGATGATGATAGGGCGTGAAGAATGTCCACTGAGTTTGGTCATAAAACTAGTGCTTGTTCCAGTGAAACGTTCTTCTCCAAAAGGATCAGCTGGATAAACAACCAAGTCGTAGAGAAGTAGCATTGGATTTCAAAAATGTGAAAAGAAGGGGCCTAAATGGTTGTTCGTAGGCAAAAATAACTAAGCGATGATTGTTAAAAGATCACGTGACCAGTTGTCTTGGAGTAGATGATCCGTCCCTTCTTGATGACATATTCAATCAAATCTTGTGATTCGCCCAGTCTGAATATGATGCTTTCCCACCTAAAGAAAAATATTAACAGCTAAAATGGTTAATTTAGATTTGCCAAAATAAGGCTCGCGAAAAACGAAAAACAATACCTCGCTCATCAAAACTGCCATTCCGAATTTGGTATTAAGCGTCACACAGGAAACATCCAACATGAGTATTAATATGTGATTACTAGAACCAAAACTACATTGCACTTTTCCGAAAAGTCGAAAAGGAGAAGAATATTGGAAGCGCCAGCTTCGGTGAGAGCCATGATGCGGGAGATTGACACAAAAGAACACGTGAACCATGCCAAAATAGCGGTAATGTAGCGTATTGAGCAATTCATTATTTGCTGGATGCTAAATTAATGCTATCCATCTTTGACTTTGTTGGCATTACGAGGCCACAAACATCCAGCGATTTTTACATCCTGTGAGCTGTTGCATGGTTTATTTATTCGAAACGCTCCCCTGAGATACAAGTGCAGCCTCGGTAATCCCAAGATACAGTTAAGGCTTACACCATCACTTTCTATATTGATGAATAGCCGGCAAGGACTTTCAAACTTGTTATAGCACCGACTCCAAAGCATAGGGGAGTAAACCTAGATTAAGTTCAATAAATTTTGCTCCCAAAGTTACTCTTCCAGTCTACCATCTTGTGATGCTAGCCAGACTATTAAGAGGCGAAAAGGAACTTAAACTGTCCAAAACTAAAGTGTGTAAAAGTTGGACAAACCTCCTTGTATTGATGACCACAAAATCGCCTTGACGTGCCTCCGTAATGGCACCCACCCGGTGGGAAAGACCGATGCTATAAGCTGCGTTGATTGTCGCTGCGGTGATGGCCTGCTCCAGGGTCATACCCAAAGTCGTGCAGGCTAGATACATCACGATAGGCTATAAATACCGAAAAGAGTACGGAATTCAAGCATGACCGTGGCTCAGATAACGAAGTTTTAGTGTTTTCCATTGATGGCGTTCATGTCATTTGAAATAATTTTGTAATTTCACATCTTGGAGCCAAAATTGAAATGGGATACTTGAGTTATGCACTCTACATTCACTTAATGCTTAAAATGGTGGTGAAATGTGATTGATGATAGTCCTTTCTGAGGTCCCAATTGTGCTACCTTGGCACCATTTCGGACAATGACTTGTTCATTGAAGATGAAGTCGTAGAAATTCAACATGAAATAAAAAGATTTTGGGCTAACAGTGGTTCTACGTTCGATGGGTAGGACATTAAAACTAAAGAGCCTGAACGTGGAATCCACAAGAGCACAAACGTGACTATGGTTGAATTACTTTTCTAAATCAGAAGTGCTTCAAGAGACCAAAATCCACTTAATAATCGCCAGAAAAAGGTAGTTGGGAGACTTTCAGAAATGAATTGTACGTAACCTAATAGTCCAGACGACACTTAACCTTAACGTGGCAAATGTCCTCCCTGCAGCAGGATTAATCACTCTGAGGTTTAACCAATTTTCTAAAAAACAACTGTGGGAGATGTGTAAACCAAAATAGAGACTCCTTTCTACAAACCATAAAAGAGATCGAAAAATTAGCACTAAAAACAAGTTGATGGGATTAGCATACAATTCAGACTATTTCTTCAAACGAAGGGATGCAGTGATCAGCAGTCACGCCTAGACAAAGTGAAGGAGGTTCAAAATGCATTATTACGAATTCAATAGCCTATATTACACCAGAACAATAATAAAAATCTTTATGGTTTAGCTAATCTAGTGAATTATTTCGGAATCATATCAGAAATTTTGGGTATATTCCCAGCACGCCTTTTATTCATGACTTTCACCCAAGAGAATGAGGCGAATATGTCCCAAAAGAGGACTCAAAAGTACAAATATGTTGTGCTGGCTTGATATTGCCATGACAACAAGAGTTTCGACCTACTGTCAGGGTGTTGAAGGTAGTGACCTGTAACGGGTAGGCTGGATGCAAACAGATGGAAAAACTGGTAGGACGTAAATATTGTACTGCTAGGGAAGGGAAAAATTCCCAAACTGACGATGTGATAAAATGCAGCACAGGGATTCGTAGGACCTGCACTGAGAGTTAACCCAACTAGAAGGGTTTGTGCTTAGAAAGTGCCTTCCATCATTTAAAATCGATGCTTCTTCGATTACGATAAACATTTGCCCTACTAAGAAACTTGTTTTTGCGAAATCGAAAAATTATTTTAGGAGTTTTCTCCAAATCCTATCAAAGATATCAAATTTCCCTCCCTTACCGACGAAAATTCCATTTTCGATTGTTACTCTGACCTTCTACATATCGTTTACCCCGACCATAATCAGTCAGTCCACCATTACTGCCTCCAATGGGTTATGATGTGGAAAGCCCATTAAAAAGCTGGAGAGAGCTCAATGGCCAAAGGTGTACAGGTGACTGAGGGGAGTTTGTAATCTCACCACCTCGGAGCACGCAGACGTAAACGTAGTGGCTCCTTTTGCAACAGCAGCGAACCCTGATAGTGACGCTCAATCGATATCGAGCGCACATCGATCCGGTGACAGCACCGCAACCAAGGCATAGCGACACCGGCGAACGAGCGCATACGCGAGCTCATCCGTCAGGAGTGCTATTGCAATGATTAAGCTAAAAAATTGCTTAAAAGAATCGAAGTGATGTCTGTAAACAGACTGCAGCACAAGAAATTGTGGAGTATTAAGGTAGCATAAAAAAATTAGTATCTTGTTAAGAAGTTATGAAGAGGAGACAGTTTAAAGGGCCCCAACAAACAAACAAACAAATCAAATTGGAAACCAATTGCACAGATCAAGCCGGTGTTTTAAGGAAAGAACTAGTAAAACGCAGTCCAGTTGTGAGACTCTTCACAATTTCAAAATTTTTCGACGTCGGAGCTCTTTTTAGCCAGAAATCTCAATTTACTAGCAAATAAAGCAGACCATATATGCCTTTCTTACTCAGGTAAGACAGTTCTCTCACAAATACTGCCATAGGCTTGAAGATAATTGTTTGACGTTAAGCTGTAGCTTCGTGAGAAGCCAAAGAAATAAGGAACAACCTTGAAAGGCCATTACCAAATGACCTGTCTCATTTTCGAAACAACAGCCCTCAGTGTCAATCAATCCCATGAGAACTTTTTATGAATACTTGCTTTCAGTAAGTGAACTTTAGGTGTCAAGCAAAAAGGGCCAAAAGGGAGTGGCTAAGACCAGGATTTGGCAAGCGACAAGGAGCATAGGCTTACCATAGAGGTGCAAAAGAGGTTGGCGCGAAAGTCAGTACCAAGGGCGATAGGCACACCGGCCTGAGCGATGGCGATGGCGGGTGGGGGTTGGTGGCGGAGCAGCAATGTCGTGGTGGGTAGAAGGACCGCAGCTGTGCGCGAACCCGTCAGGGCGGCCACCCCCGCTGGTGACACCTCGTCCAAGTGACTCACCGCTCGCGCCATCAGCGAAGCCGCAAGCTTATCGATCACAAGGGGACATTACCAAGGCGGCTGTCAGACGCCTGTCTTCCGATGAATCACAGCATAGGTGCATATCAGTTATCCCCAAAGCAGCTAGCTCCTCTGGCTACAAATTACCCATGCTAAGACGTTTGGTCAACCGATTCACTACCGAACCAGAAGCCCTCTACGCCCTTACGCTGAGATATTTCGGTCCATAACCCCGTAAGGGACTAAGTCTGAAGGATCACAAAGGTGACGTGAATTTTATGCATCTGAATATGCACCACCAAAAGTTTGGGTTTAGTACTGTTGTAGCTGATAAAAAGTTGGTAACTAATGACCTACTAGAACATATTTTTAAAAAATTAAAAATGAAAGGTTAGTGAAGGACGATGCATTCGATTTTCAACTGCTGATTCGTAACGCTCCGAATAGTGCGTTTCGACCGTTCGCTTAAGGATAGTCAAAGTGAAGTCGACTAGTCCTCGTTCGATGGGGCGGTTTGCCAGGTGACACATCACTCATGACGGTAATACAGCCGAGTGACCACATTGAACGTCTCAAATGCACGTACAATACCATCTAGCTGAAGCAATAGGAATACAAAAGCGAAGCTCGTTAACCATTACCTCTAAGCAATTGACTCGCCAATTCGGATCGTGACCATACCAAGAGTTTTACGAAAATTTGGAGACGACTACGCAGAGAGCATACCTTCTCAGGTGTTGTTCCGAATTTCCAAATTCATAATAAGGACAGCTGGTTTCAAAGGTATTTTGAGGATATACTTTGATGCAAACAAAAGATTAAGAAAACTCCTTTTGCTAATGAAAAGTGGAACAGTGTTAAATACTTCGAAACGAAAATAAGTAGCACACGCAAGTAGTGAATGTTTCAGTTTTATAAAAAGAAGGCGGAATAAACAAAGAATGACGCAGTACTTAGGGCACTATCTCAAGACGTATCTTCAGAGTATGGACTGTTTTCGGCTAGATGCGAGGCCTTCAGCCAATGCCGTTACTATAGGAACGCTTTAGTTGTAAATATTAACATTAATGGCCAAAGCAGATTCAAACAATCATAAAAAGGAGACAGCGATTTATGTAGCAGGAGCAGCTAAGTCATACAAGAAAGCAGTATTGTGTAGTAGCCGGAAAGAGGAAAGAGGCGATATGTTCGCACACCAAACAAACAGTTTGTCCCCGTCGTACTGAACTGTCAAACACTAAGAAACATTTAACATGCCATCAAGTATCTCCAATTTAAGCTCCACAACTCGTACAGAAGTTCGACTGATTTTCAGATGAAAATGAGGAGATCTAAGGGAAAAATTGCATGAAGATTGTAAAAGTTAATTCATTGACAAAGTTTGAAAGGAATGTCTGGGCATTGTGAGCTAAAGTAAAATTCAAGAAGTGAGGTATTGCTCTTTAGAGAAAAACGACCTTTAATGGAGAGTGAAAATGAGGCATTTAGCAGGAGTAAATAGGGCCACCCACGCAATATTTTGACGAAGAAAAGTCGAGTCCTAAAAGGCAGGAACAGAGGATTGGGTCAGCAATGCCAATGGCACAAGGTGCTCCAAATCAGGGCTGGTATAAGCAGTCCCATCCCCACGTTCGGCTAGCGGCAAAGGTCATCTGACGACGTGGGCGGCCCTCGCACTTGACATTAGTTGAATGAGTCATATCGCGCCAAGGGACGAAACGAAGCAAGGTGGCATTCTTACGTGGTTAACTTTCAACACAAGCTAGGCAAAGTCGCACCAGAACCCACTGACCCTCGCTCATAAGCGGAAAATACTACATTTTAAAACGGACTCTTGTGCGTTTTGAGCGGCCTCAAATGGTGATGTGCAATTTGTTTGGGTCTACGCGATAAGATATGCCAAAGACAATGATATGAATTAGAACAAATTCTGGTCGGTTGAAAGCTTACTAGGGTCAAAACACCAGATTTTTGAACTAGGCCGGTAAGATACTATCAATAAAGCGGGCGATCGTATATGGGCCAGCTGATTTTAGCAAATGCTTAAATCTATGGCCAGCATTTCATAGGTAATCAGAATGCATCTGTCCATAGTGTCTATAGTCAACTTGAAATGATTTTGAGATTCTCCAGCAAAGTGTAAAGCGCAGTTGGTCTCGGTAACAGTAGAATAAAGATGGTCTAAAGCAGACTGAAATCCGCTTTAATGACGAAAAGGCATCCTTCCCAATTCTACGCGCCAAAATTTGCAACAACACCTTCAGTGAAGTATTACGCCCGATGACACAATCCTTGTGAATCACAAAACGGCATTTAGATGTCTCTCTTGAGTGTTGCTTTGAGGACTAATGCCAAATGCTATAAAACGGAACTTCAAAGACTTCTTACAGAAATAGCCAATCTTATTTTTAAAAAATTGTAATTATGAAAAAGTTAATGCCCATCGCAAGACTCGACAAACGATCTGCCCTTTGAACGGGAAAGCAAGACCAAATTATGGAGCAGCTGCACGTCCGTGAAGGATGCAAATCATTTGTGACTTGACATTAAAACAAATTACAGTAAATGGATGCAGTTGTCCTCTAAATAAAATGGTGACTAGTCATGCAGGCTTTCAGTTAAAAGGGAGGATTTGAAAGTCAAATGCTTGGCAGTAGTTACTACCCACTACCCACTACTAGATACGATAAAACGTCAAAACCAGCTTAGATGCTCCAATAGGCTCCCTTAGGCTGAGCCATCGTCGAGGTGATGAATCGTAATGAATGTGTTGAAATAATACTCAAACTTTAGATACAAAAGCCACAAAGGTAGGACTTTTATTTAACAACGTTTTCACACGTAGAATTCTATGGCAACTTCATTCATGTTCAGAAACACTCTGTGGTGATGAATGAAGCGGTAAAGCTTTAATGGCTCTCAAATGCGGAAAATGCTGTCCCATTTCATACAGTTGTGAGTTATTAATATTAGAGTGTGCCGAACCAAAGACATGCAGCCTCATAGGTGCGTTGTGCGTTGTTCCATAGGTATTGCGCCCCAGCACGTTATTCGTATATTTTCCATACGGGAAAAATCAAGAATAATCATATTTAATCGGCAAAGGAAACGAAGAGAGCGGACGTCTTTCAGTTCTACTGCACATGTCGGGTAATGAATGGAACCCCATTTGAAATGATGGCTGATCTCTCGATTGAACCACTGATATCGGACGCGCCTCTGAATAATGAAGCCTAGTGCATGATATGGTTTCCCAATTTCAGTGTGATTACGGTGTCCTTTCAAAACGTCCAAACAATATTGTGGCATAATTCATATCAAAAGTAAAGTTACTTAACTTATTTCACAATATGGAGCCCGTCTCCTAAGTATATTTGCAGACAATATTGTCGCACAAATATTGAAGTTAAGCAAGGTTATCCTTTGTTTCGTTTCATTAAAATCGTCATTTAATTCAGCACAAAACTGTCCATTTTGGTACATCATACTGTACTACGCTACAATCGTTTCAAAGCATTTCTTGAGACCGATAAGGTCTAGTAAATAGCCCTTCAAAGTAGTTAAGAGAAGCAGTTAAGACAATTGAAAAAGAAATCAAGACCCAGTCAATTGAAGGCAGTCTGCAATACCCAAGTACCTATGCAAAATCTTCAGATGATCATGCCTTCGAGATAAGCACAACGGCCATGCCATTCATCAGACAGACTCACCTCCGCAGATGAACCGTTAGAGATGCTCTCGGCGTGGAAGTTTAGCTTAAGACCCATCGCCTGCGCTTTGCTAAGAATTTGTCTGGACTGTTCAACGTTAAAGAAACCTAGATGTAAAACATTACAAACTGACTCAATTGCATATCAATTTCAGAAGTAGGCAAGCCCCCTCAATCCGCAGAATGTGATACTTAAACTTGTGTTCACATTTGCTGGGTGGAATCTCCAGTGATCAGGCTATCTATTAAAGGCGACCAGGCCCTTTGATTCTACTATTCAAACTTAGATGCCTCAACGCGCAGTCAGCAAAGTAGTTATGTTAGTAAGTAGCATGAAAATATGTCACTCGATAAAGTGTCCAGCCCTGGCATTCGCATTTCGAAGTTTTATGGACCATTTAAAGATGCATTTCTGGTAATGATTGTTGACAAGATAATTGGCAAAATGGATAATACTATCCAAAGAATGCGAAACGAAATACTACACTTTCAAAAAGATCACTAGAAGTATACTTTAAGTGAGATTTTGTCTACAATTGAACAAAAATTGGGATCTTCCTATTTTGACCGGAGAATACGCAAATAAGCAATGTATTTTACTCATTGTGAATACAAATAGGTCACGATAAAATGGATAACAAAAGGTTTGGAAAGGTATCAGTTAAAGTGAATTTGGTTGTTTAAACTTGGAAAGCGGAACTAGAATGAAGGATAAGAAGTTGTATTACCCTCAGCACACCTCACGTCAATATTGTCTACAATGATTTCTCCATTTTCAATTGAACTTTGTAACTCTGGCAATCTTGTATTGACAACGTCTTCTGTGATCGCATCAGTTGTTGAGTTTCTAAAAATCCGACGATAATATACATGGATACATCCTGCGAAACCAACTTTATTATTTACCTGTGGCTGTGAAAGAAATGCCATTGAATCCTATGTTGACATTTATCCTTTGCTCGAACTGATGTGCAATTTTATGAAAAGTTCATGGGTATCAAAAAACAATTTGGTATTTTAAGCTCTTTGAAGGTACACGATCAAATTACTTGGGCTCTACAAACAGGTAACCTTTCAAGAAACACCACTTCCACGGATATTTTGATACTTCGATGCACAGCCAAGGAAAGAGCCGCATCCATATTGCGAGACGAACGTCGGTCAGATTTATGTAAGCATAGTTGATGCCCATTTGACAAAAAGTGACAGATTCCACGTGTGTTCATTACGCGAAAAAAGGCGAAGCATCAACGTCCTAACGATGGATACAAAACTAATCGGGAGGCAGTCTATTTTGCCTTTTTGTTTTTCCTGTCAGTTATTAAACGTCTCTGCAGATACAAGTGATAGGCAAAACTCGGGTATTATTTCCCTTAGTGCTTTGTATAAGCAGAAATCATGGACACACAAGTGCTGGAAAGTTGACACTAATGAAGCAAAAAGGAAGGGTGCTTAAATAGAGAAAGTGAACAATAATTAAGATTTGCCTTAGTTTACAAGGAAGGCAGTGCAGGATTTCGTCCTATGCCAATTACAACTGAAGACAATACGAATTCTCTTCAAAATGAGCAGTCAAGCTAGCGCTTTACTTCTAGCAATGTTGTTATAAAGCCAATAAAATATAACCAGAAATTAGGACTTTGGCCCTACAATGTGAAGAGTGCTTACTTTGGAAGTACGCTAGCCGCAAAGTAAGTTATGGATATATCCAACGGGATCTCCCTTTTAAGCCTCGTGAGAACCCTGAGAATTTTCTTCTCCGTAGCCCAATTCAAACTATAGTCCGTTTTGCACTCGATGGTTGTTGTCCCTTTGCTTGCCATCGACTGCAATAAGTAGACAACAGAAGTGCGACCAGACGCATCGCAATCACCTTAACACTCAGCCTTTCTAAAGGCAAGTGATCCAATGACAATAAAAGCAGTGAATACAGATTCACATAATAATGAGGATTAAAAGGTGATCGAAGAACGAGTGGGTTCATATCATGCACTAACTTTTTGTCCATGTTCTTTCGCAAGATCTATGTTTTAGATGGAATCCAATGGGGTACCAATGTCCATAGTGTTGTAAAAAATACTAACAATAAATGACCTTTTTACCGTTTCGATCCGGTAGAAAGTCGTACGTAGGACTTATTTATATTTGAACAAGGATGAACTGAATTCCACTTAAAAAAGCAACAGGAGTGAAAATAAAAACTAAGAAACCCATGCTCACCCGTATCCTTGCAAGTGTGGCTGCGTAAAGGCTGTCCTCACTTGCATTGGCAGTCCGATCGACAGTGTAGTCCAACTCGGAGGAGTTCATATTATCGCTCAATTCCATATAGGAAGCTCCAGCCACCTTTTGAAAGAAATCGTCCTCGCGATCACCACCCCACACCGGATAGGTGTGGGCATCAGTGAAACCTAAATCAAATTCATTGGCGTGAAAACCGTCGGAAATAAAAATTCTTAGGTTATCTAGAACTCAACTTCTGCTTCTATCCGACAAATTATCCACATAATGCATTAAAATTTTGCTAATTTATCAATCAAATAATTTAAATGAATTGCCGCAAGCTAATAAAACTAAATGCCATTCGGTCCAGTGGCTAAGTTTCGGACTAATAAATTACAATGGGAATTGAAACGACGTCACAGATTGTCCAGACACCTAACCGATCTTTGAGAATACAACTCAAGCTGTTTAATACGAAGTAAGGGCGAAAACCAAAAGTAGAAGCAGTTTTCAAATTTAATTAATTATATTTAAAGGATGACAAGGCTGGCCAAAAAATGCTGCGCCATCGGCCCAGTTAAATCACTGGCAATAAATAGGTCATGTTGGAGAAGGCTATCTTCGAAAAAGACGACAGGAAGAAAAATGGTTTGAAAACACTAACGTATGGCGTAACAGTTCCTCAAAAACCAAAAAAAGAAGGTTGCATGAGCTCTAGAGAGGAATGAAAGCTCAATGTTCGAATGAAACCTTACCTCTACCAATAAAATTTAATTCGGTTCAAGTCGCATCAATCTATGGTCGGTGTTGGAATTATTGGGGTGCAAAATAAGTCCTTCAGAAACCGATCTGAAACTAAACTCTATGTAACATACCCACGGAAGTTAACTAGTATTTTAATCTTCAAAGCTGTCTATGGCGGAACTAGAGGGAGGGATCCAAAAAACCAACGCTCCGACTGCTAGTCAAATAGCCATAACTGAAAAGGAAACTGATTGACACTGAAATGTACACTTTGTTAGGCATGAACCGAACACAACTCATTCAGTGTTTGCAGAAACTAAAACCATTGCTTGAAAGTTATCAATTTGGTATGTTGACAGGAATTACCGACAACTCCAGAAATGACGCTGAATAGCGCATCACATTACAAATGCAGATCTGTTCGCAGTGAAACGACCTGAAGCTTCAGGAACACTTAAGTGCGTAGTCAACTGACAAAGGGAATTGAAAAGTGAGGACATCAAATACCAAGAGCACCCGATCGAATCTTACCCAAGAAGCTCGACCGACGCTTCCAGGATTTACCGACATAGTGACTATTTGGAATTATGTTAAAATACTATGCGGAGCTTATGCCATGTTACGCAAAGAATCTGGAACTTCAAAGCAATTTTAAAAGTGAGAAATTTATCAAATTAGTCCCGTTGTTACATCAATAACGACTGTATGTGCGTCAAACGAAGTTGTTCACGCCCACAAACCAAGGAAGGAAAATTGTTCAAATTTTTGCACTTGTTCGCACTACGGCAGTTATGTGCAAAATATACTCTAGGCATCACTTTTCGCATTACTATAGACTGATTCTCAAAGTGATATATCTATCCATACTACGAATACGACAAAAAAATTATGAAAGCGCATTCAGCACACACACGGCTTTAAAACTGAATCTGAC